CACACACCCCGTCCCACACCGGGAGTACTGTTCCCACCTCTTTGGTCGTCGGTTATGGGTGTGGAAACCGGATCTCTCCTAGGAGCACCTAGCGGTGGACAGCGCCCTAAACGCCACCATCCCACCAGAGCTTTGTGAGCCAATTGGTGTGGGGATCCGGGACTGGGGTTGCCCAGTCCATGGTGGGGAAACCGAGTCCCAGGAGTTCCCGAGTGGGAGCTGCCTGGCCACAGAGCAGCCCAGTCTCTGGGACTGTTAGGGCAGTTGGCCTGCTTGCTTCCTTACCTGTGCCCAGCCAAGTTTTCACAGCCCCCAGATCCTAGGCTAAGCGCGGAAAAGCGGCCTGCGTCTCCTAGCTCCAGGCTCCCGGTTTCGGCTGGAGGTGCAGGGTCACAGCCAGGCCTTTTCCTCCGCTCCAGCCTGCCTGCCGCCTCCCCCTGGCCTCCCCACCCACTCCACATGACTCATGGGTCACGTCCCCTCTCCGGGTTTCCGCTGCTCCCACCGCCCAGCCTGTGACCCTTCTGGCCGGGTGGACTCTGGCATGGGCCGGTCCCGGCATTAGCCGGCTTTAAACCTGACGCCGGGTCCCTGCCCCACAGGCGTTCTCCCGCTTCCTGCACACAGAGCCTTGAGCTCTGCTTCATCTGGGGCCCCTAGCAGCCGGCGTTGCTCAGGGTGGCTGTGCTTGGCCTTCCTGGGGGTCTTACTGTTGGGGTCTGTGTCGCGGCTTTGGAAAGGGCCCTCAAAACCCAGGATTGCGAGGAAAGTTTTGTGCGTTGACCCTTCTTTCTTGGAAGAGGGCCCCTGACTCAGGAAACAGGGAGAGGCCACACCCTGGTGGTGGCGGCCTTGGGGCCCGGAGCCTGCGTGGCTGACTCTGGGAGTGTCTGGGTCCGTGGTACAGTGGTGCCTGCTGGTGAGGGCTCTGGGGTCTGACTGTTAACACTTCTGGAATCTTCTGAGGACTCAGCAGCTTACTGTGGGAAGCTCGAGGTTGGCCATGGGGGAGGTACTTGCACCAAGGCACTCACAGACCCCACATCAGTGCTCTTCTGTCCCGGACAGCAGGCTGTGGGCACCGCTGCCCAGCCCCGGGCTTTGAGTCAGGTGGATGCCACCGACCCCCACTGCTGCCCGGGTGTCTGACCTTAGGCAGGTCATGTGAGCTCTCAGACGCAGCCTTGGCACCTGGGAAATGGGGGTGACTGCTGTGAAGACTCCATGCGGTAGCACTGGCGGACGGCGGCCCAGGCTGGTCCCCGCCGGCGCTCAGGGGCCCTGGGTGTGTGAGGTGGGTGAGGCAGGCCCCTAACGGTGCTGTGTCTCTCTTTCCAGGTGAATGCCACAGGCCGCCAGCTGCAGACAGCGGTACAGTACCGGGACCTCCCTGGCTTCTGTTCTGTAGGAGGGCTGCAGCCCCCACACTGTCAGAACACTTTAGGCAGCTGAACACGTGATGTCAGAAGTGGGTAATGGATAACACAGCCCATTAATCAAACCAGAACCTTCTCGTAAACAGCCAGACAAAAATTAGACACAACAAAAAAACATCAGCCAGGAAAAGGTTCCCCGGCTTCCCACCGGGCTATGCCCAGCCTAGCCCCTGCAGAGACGCCCTCTCCATCCGTCCCCCAGCCTGCCTGCTCCCGTCCCCACTCCAGGGGTCAGCTTTAGGTGGGCTGGGCCAGGCCTCGCAGTCACACGTGCTGCGTTTGGCTCTGGTCCACAAGTATTTCGTGGTCTCTGGCTCTGTGCCAGGCCCCTGCTGAGTCTGGGGTGTGGGTGAGTCCCCTCCCCCGCCAGGCCCCTATTTCCTCCTTTGTGAAGTGAGGAGGGCTAGACGGATCTTGTGAGATGGTATCAGAAGCTATGTGAGATCCAACCAATGTCAAGTGCTCAGGTCAGGGCTTAGGACAGGGCTTTTTCCCTGAAAGGAGCGAACATTTTATGGTGGCCTCCTGACAGATTCAAGCATCTGGTATATTCTAAGTGGAGGAACTAGGTTTTTAAAAAATCAGAAAAAAGTTTTCCTGGTACAAAATCAATGACATATGTAAAATGTCTGTTTTATTTTATTTTTTATTTATTTTATTTTTATTTTTAGTGATGGGAGTCTTGCTATGTTGCCCAAGCTGGTCTCAAACTCCTGGCCTCAAGTGGTCCTCCCATCTCGGCCTCCCAAAGTGCTGGGATTACAGGTGTGCGCCACCACACCTGCTGTAAAATGTGTGGAGCTGGGCAATGTGAGGCAGAAAGGATCCTCTCCTGGCCGGGTGTGGAGGCTCATGCCTGTAATCCCAGCACTTTGGGAGGCTGAGGTGGGCAGATCATGAGATCAAGAGATTAAAACCATTCTGGCCAACATAGTGAAACCCATCGCTACTAAAAGTACAAAAATTAGCTGGATGTGGTGGCATGAGCCTGTAGTCCCAGCGACTCAGGAGGCTGAGGCAGGAGAATCGCTTGAACCCGGGAGGCGGAGGTTGCAGCAAGCCGAGATGGCACCGCTGCCCACTGTACTCCAGCCTGGCGACAGAGCAAGACCCCATCTCAAAACAACAATAACAACAACAAAAACCCCATCCTTTCTAGACTTTGACCTGAGAAGTGGCAAAATGTCGTGGGTTGTCCCATGCAATGCCACATCTGGAAAGTCTAACTGAAGAAAAGAAGGCCACCTGGGGGTGCGGGCGTGGAGCCAGCGGCTGTGGGGACACAGTCGGCTCCCAAGGAGGCCGGAGGGCCCTGCTAGGCCGACGAGGGCCTTAGAGATGGGGCATCCGGAGCGGGACAAACAGCTGTGATGAGGAAACAGGAAGGGGCCCAGTGACGGTGAGGACCTGCTCCTGCCTGGGCTTAAGGCGTCCCTGGGAGCTGCAGAGCAGCGATGAGCCCGGCTGAGCCGTATCTGCCGTTACCTGCTTCTCATCCAAGTCCTGAGCCCCACCTGACCCTTTAGGGTCCCCAAAGACACGAGACGCCCAAAGCAGGGTGTGTCTTTGGGACACCTTTGTGCTGCGCTGTGGCTCCCAGGTGCGTTGTACCTGTCCTGCCTAACTGAGTGTTGGCTGGCCACCTTCATGGGCCCTTGACGCTGAGGCTCAGGGCAGCCTGCTGCAGTGACTTGCCAGTGGGTGCCTGAGTCTGGTTGGTCTTAGGCGCCTTCTCTGGTCTCTCACAGGCTCTGATTCCTGCGCAGGGTCTGTTGTCCTGGTCCTCTACCGCCAGACTGTGGGTGCCCCCTCCCTGCAGGCCCTGGCCCTACGTGAGGTCCCCTTCGTAAATGTCTGATGCGTGATGGTCAGGGCCACTGCAGGAGGGACTGACCTGCTGCCCCTGCCTCCCCAGCCACCTGCGTGGACCTGCAGCTGAGGACCTGCAGTGACGCCGCCTACAACCACACCACCTTCCCCACCCCGCTGCAGCACCGGTCGTGGGAGGCGGTGGAGGCCAGCTCTGAGTACATCCTGCTGAGCATCCTGCACCAGCTCCTGGAGGGCCAGTGCAACCCGGACCTGCGGCTGCTGGGCTGTGCTGTGCTGGCCCCCCGGTGTGAGGGCGGCCGGGTGCGCAGACCCTGCCGGCACGTCTGCGAGGGCCTGCGTGAGGCCTGCCAGCCAGCCTTTGACGCCATCGACATGGCCTGGCCCTACTTCCTCGACTGCCACCGATACTTCAAACGTGAGGATGAGGGCTGCTACGACCCGCTGGAGAAGCTGCGGGGTAAGGGAAGGTGGCGGGACTGTCCGCGTGGTCACGGAGGACCAAGAGCCATGCTAGGAGAAGCGCGAGGCCTTTTCCATCGGCAGCGATGGCGCAGGCATTGGCGGAGGGCAGGGCTGCTGCCCAGGTCAGCATGTCCCCACAGAACAGGCAGGGCTGGGGGCTCAGTGCAGATGGGGGTCCTCTCGCTGCCCAGGGGCCCCCAGCAGAAGGCTCCAGCCCCTTAGGGGCAGGCTGGGGTGGAAGGTGCTGAGTCTGAGTGGGGGCAGTGCCCCTGCCCAGGGTGCAATGAGGAGGCCTCCTGTCGGGGAGCCTGGGCTCAGAGGGCAGGGCTGGCCCCGGGGGTCCAGTCCTTGGCCACAGACCCTCCAGCTGCAGCACTCTCCCTGGACAAGGGTGGGCAGAGCATTTACTCTCCCCCGGAAGCGTGGCGGGCAAAGCTTCACGACCGCCCGTGTCGCTAGGCCTGGAAGATCACAGAGTGTTTGACCTGAATCGACTCCTCCCAGTGGGGTCTGCACTGCCCTGTGGGCTCAAGGAGGGAGAGGGGCTATAGAAAAGGCTTCGGGCTCTCATGTGGATAAACCGGTGGAGGGGGAGTGGGCAGGCCTGGGCCACAATGGGCCACCTGTCTCCGAGGTGAGCAAAGAGGTCCCAGAGGGCCGCTTGGCAGCGGGGCTGGTGGGGGCCCTGCATGGAGGCTCCTGTGTCTGCCATCCCACGAGTCGGTGTCCACCAGAGACCCTGCATGATCTGCAGCAGCCCTGGCCTGTGAGACTGTCCTGTGGGAGAGAAATGTTCTATTCCGTGCTGTCCAAGACAGTCACACTGGCCGCATGTGGCCGCTGAGGCTGGGCTGCGGCTCTTGCCTCTGAGGCCTGGCTGTGGGCATCTCATTGCATCTGAATGAGTCTGAACCTGCCTTTGAACAGCCTAGGGCCAGCATGTGCCACGCTCACCTGTGCAGGGCAGCATCCACTCGTGGTTGAGTTCAGAGGACCTGACTGGGTGCTAGCTCACGTGGGTCTGACGACAGCCTTGTTCCGTGGAAGAGGAGGCGGAGTCTCAGAAAGGGTGACAGCACTGGGGTCTTTAGCTGGAGTGGCCCAGGCCCATCACGGGTGGAGGGGTGGATTGGCCATTCATCAAACAGCAACCGAGCGCCCGCTGTACATGTGGCTCTGTGCTGGGGCGTTGAGGAGGGCAGGAGAGGGGATGCAGATGCACCTGGGCCGGGCTCCGTGAGCTCCGGGTTCCAGGCTGTGTCAGGCGCTCAGGGTTGGTCCTGGCACGTCTTGGAGCCTCTGGCTCCCAATCTGAGAAGGGCGGACCCTGTCTACCCTGGGTTTCCATGCAGATGCAGCAGCGGGAGTTGCCCTTTGCCGGCAGGTGGGAGCCAGCTGCCGGCCAAGCTCAGTCCCTCAGAGGCGGTGGAGGTGCCTTGGGGAGGCCAGGGAGGCGAGGACGGGCACCAAGCCCACAGCCTGGGAAAGCCCAAGGACACGGCTTGAGGTTATTTTGGGCATCTCCTCTGCCAAATTGCTGGCTTCCTCTGCTGTCTTTCCTCTGGAGAACCGTTTTGAGCAGAAGCAAAACCACAGGGCAAGGAGAAGCTTAGAGAAACACATTAACCCTCTGCGGCCCCAGGAACAGCCTGTGGGCACCTGCATCATGCTCCTGTGGGTCTGGCTGCACTGCCCCCGGCGAGGCGGAGGGAGCTGGGGGTCACAGGGCGGTCCTCAGGGCGCCTCTGTTCTAGTGGAGGAAGGATGGCGGGGAAGCCAGCGCATATGAGGCATAGAGACATCTGTTTTTCTAAAGCCAGAACCCTCCCTCTTCCCCCTAGTCCTTCCCAGAACCCCCCTTTCAGTTTCCTCCCTGGTGTAGGTGCTCACTGCTGTACTAGTGAGGTGGTAACAGAAACACTGGGCAGCCTTACAGCAGCGGGGTGGGGGGCGGGGGCACTGCTAGGAGCCTTCCCGTTGACACCATTCCCCACGCAAACAGAGCAGAATCCTGACCTGCTGACCTGCGTGAGCGCCACACTGCCATGGAAAACGCAGGCAGGAAAAGCCCCTCTGCACACCCAGCCAGAGTTTGCCTGGGGTCCAGGACCCCACTGAGCTCTGTTCCTTTCTGTGGTCCTGCTCTGTATTTTAGGAACTTCCCAAAGTGGCCACAGAGTACGTGCATTCACAGTCATATTAGGAGCCATGGTGCTGTGCAGTGTGCACATCTTGGGTGCCATTTGGCTTAGATACTGCTGTAGGCACTACAGGGAGAATTTAAATTGGGGATAGAGCTGTCCAGGCATTGCTGTCGTGTAGACGGGGCTGAGGGGGCTCTGCGTGGTCAGTGTTCCCAGGCTGTGGTAGGAAGCCTCGGGGTCTGACACTGACCGAGCCCCCCTGCTGCTCCCCCAGGAGGCCTGGAGGCCGACGAGGCGCTGCCCTCCGGGCTGCCGCCCACCTTCATCCGCTTCAGCCATCACTCCTATGCCCAGATGGCACGTGTGCTGAGGCGGACGGCCACCCGCTGTGCCCACGTGGCCAGAACCTACAGCATTGGGCGCAGCTTTGACGGCAGGGACCTACTGGTCATCGAGTTCTCCAGCCGCCCCGGCCAGCATGAGCTGAGTGAGTGCTCTTGGGAAGCCTGGCCTGGCCCTGCTTCAGGAAAGGGCTCGGGCCGCTCCACCTTGGGGTACACAAGTTGGCGGGGTGTTTGGGATCCTGGGCATGGCTGAAGGCGTCAGGGTGTTGCTGGGGGAAGGCTGCAGCCCACTGGGCATGTGCAACCCCCATATGTAAAAAGGAGACTTTCCCCAGACATCCGTCTTGCTTCCAAATTCAGGGAGGCAGGCAAGGTTATTTCATAATTATGGAGACATTGATCTAGTGGCTGAAAAGACAAAACAAACAGCTGCTGTTGTCGCCCAGGCTGGAGTGCAGTGGCGCAATCTCGGCTCATCGCAACCTCCACCGCCCGGGCTCAAGCAATTGTGCCTCTGCCTCCCGAGTAGCTGGGACTACAGGTGTGCACCACCACACCCAGCTAATTTTTGTAGTTTTAGTAGAAAGGGGTTTCGCCACGTTGGTCAGGCTGGTCTCGAACTCTTGACCTCAGGTGATCTGCCCACCTCGGGCCTCCCAAAGTGTTGGAATTACAGGTGTGAGCCACCATGCCTGGCCAAACAAGAAATTTTAGACAGAAAAGATGGTGCGGGAATGGGGGCTTGCAGGGAGATACTGAGACTGACTGGGAGTCGCCTGGGAGGCTGGCGGGAGGAGGGCACAGTCCCTGCATGTCACAGGCGTTAAGTCAGGGAGAGCAAAACAAAGGCCACAGGAGTCCAGGCCCCTCTGCACTTAGCATGAGTGAGTGCCCGCGCGCTGTGCGTTTTCTCCGTTTGAAGACCTTGTCTGTGCAGCCCTTGTCCCCGCGCACCCGACAGCTCCTTTTCTAAACTGCTCCAGGAGTGTGACACCACAGAGTGCTATAAATAAAGAGATTTTTCTATTTTAAAAATCCAAGTCCGTTTTCATTCACATCAGGCTTTAGATCCTGTTTTGAGGTGGGAGCGGGCCGTATGGAAAGATCTAGGCACCCTTGTTCCTTCAGAGACACCTTCCTGCAGGGCATATTAGGAAATCAATTTCATCGCTGTCGTAATTTGCTACCCTAAGTTGCAAAGAGCCGCTCAGGCTGGTAGTGTCTAAGAATCTAGGATGTTCTAGCAAACACCCAGACCTTCTGGATGGGCGGCCTCTGATTCCCATGTTGGGAAGGTCCGCATCCCCCAGGGCACTGAGGTCATTCAGGGTTGGAGTCCAGGGCTTCCTGGGGGTCAGCGAGTCCGAGTCCTGCCTGGGCCTCAGCCCCCAGCCCACCTGTCCCATGAGCACATTAGTCA